ATATTAATTGGGTAGGCTTGAGTGAATGGGGAGGATGGAGAAATGCAAGATCATGCATTATTATCTGCTTTATTGGGTTATGGGCTTCTGGAAAGGGCTTCTCTTTGCCCTGTCAACTGTGCTGAAATAGCCAGAATAGCCACTACTGTTGCTGCAGGAGAAAGCAGTCCAATCACCCTCTTATTTTGCTGTATGAATCAGACACTCTTCCTGATCTTCTGAAATTCCCTGAGCGATCTACAGTTAGAGTCAGAGGTACTTTCTGCCTACTCTTGTCAATACCTCTGTAATCTCTCTTCTCTTTACATTATGTTCTGTTTGTAAGAGAATTATTCTCACATTAATATTTAATGGTAACTAGATATAGAAAAACTTGCATTAACACAATTAGTTTTTTGTGCATGCTTATTATCTGCAAGATAATTTGTCTTTCCTAGAATACGCACCACCATGAGAAAGATGTTGTGACATACACATTACTGCCAAAGGCAAAGAGCTCCGCGGAACTGCTCCACTCTGTTAATGCACCAGGCCGTAGTCACATTGTCAATGGCAATTTGCATTACAATGTTGGTGGGTTATTGGCAAAAAGCTTTCCAAACTTTGAAGACTTCCAATAGTTCTAGAAAGTGGATGTGATGCCATGCTTTCCTAATTCTCCACGGAGTACAACAGTGAAGGCAACAGCTCCTTAAACCAGAAAACAAAACAAACTAGGCAGTACAAGAAAGCACTAATATTGGCAGGAAGGCAAGAACAAGCAAACTCAAACTGCCTGCTAGATACTTTTCTGTACAGCTAATGCCTGTCTCCAAAGGTCTCATGACCTGCACATAGGTTGGCTTGGGATTCTAGGTTTGATTTTATTGCTACCAGCCATGGGTTGCTGGAAATGCTGGGTTGGGCAGAGTCCTCCTTTTGAAACATTGAAGTATCTGAGAAACTCAACACATAAAGACAGAATTTGTAACTCAATGCATGCCTGTATGTGTGTATGTTTCTCATTACTCATGGTGTCCGTTTGGAATTACATAGCTGTGTTACAGTGTATTAGAGCTAGCTGAGTAAAATGTGTAGTTCTTCCAAACGTATTTGTATAAACAACATTTCAACAGCCTGTAGGTTGTATGCAGATTTATAAATGTGATCACTGACTGTGAACAAAGAGAGCGAGTGATAATATTCCCCTGATCCATGTGGTGTACCAGATTGTTCCATCTTTCTTGCCAATATTACAAAAAAGGAATGAGAAAAAGATGAGAGGCTGAAGCAGTTCCTCGTTGCTGTTTTGCTTGCTAGAGTCTTCTGAGTGCTTTAAAAGACATAAGCAATGGCAAAAGCAAATATGTTGGCCCCTTCAAAATTTGCCCTGGAAGAATGCATTTCAAAGGGCAACATTTCCCTTAAATTGACAGGCATGTTGCTGTGAAAAGTTACTCATGTTGTAGCAGTGCCTGCACGGCAGGAATAGTCCTTTATGGACCAAAAGTCTTAAATGGACTGTGTTACATTTTTATATACAGTATCTTTAAGTGTGTGCATCCAACTATGATCTTATAGAATAACACACTAAAGGGAATCAGAATGAAAACCTCCGTTGTTTTGATCCAAGAATGGCTTTGGTTCAGCCACTTTGTAGCACTATTCCGATGATTAATTCTCTCTCCCACCATTTCCTGTGTCGTAGTAAAGGAAGCAGGCACTGCAGTGACTGGTTGAGGCATCTGGCTTGGATTCCATATAGGAGCCAAAAGGTGTAGGCAAGGCATGACTCCTTCCTCCCTCCAACACCAGATCTATGCAAATATTCATGCCCGGTGACCTTAAAAGTCGAATGAAGGTGGGTACTAGAAGTACCTAATCTTAAGAGCTGCAATGTATGATAGATTTGCACAGGACTGCCAGCTACACATATAATTTCCACTTGTGCAAAAGTGGCAGAAATAATAATAATGGGACAAAGATTCTTCTTTGTTGTGTGTGCCACTTTATAAGAGCCTGTAGAAGAAATCCAGATTCAGGATTTTATTCTCAGGGTATGGTATTACATTTACAACTGTCCTCCATTGTTAGAAACCATTGTATGTTCACCCTCAGAAATTCTGAACACCTCCTTTGAATATATATAAATATATAGACTATATGAGCCTAGCTAATGAACACTGATTTTTTTTGCTGTACTTAATTTAAAATCACTGGTATTTCTCTAGAGCAAGCCACTTGTCTCGAGTTCCCAATATGTGTCTGCAATAGTAAATCCTCATGGGTTTTGTGCCACAGGAGAAAACTGGCAAAATCATGAAATGTTTCCTGATGCTTTTCCTTACCCTAAATCACTCCTTTACACATTATATGCAATGTATTCATGCTTTCTAACTACAAAGACTATTAAGTAATTAAATAAATTTTCAAGGGAGGTTATGAAATGCCTTCCTTTGAAGATATCCAAGGTTGGGGGAACAGCAAGTGGTTATGCTAAAGAACAACAGTTTTAGAATGTCAGATATCTGGGATATACAGTAGTTCTTTCCCGAATTAAAACTTCAGAGATTACTTTTTCTTTAAATGACATGTACACGTGTGCATGTGCATGTGTGTGCGCGCACACACACGCACACAGATAGACAGAGATAGAGATGTATATAGATATGTTTCAGTCAGCATTTAAACCATGGTTAGGCATTCTATTCATTGTTACGACTTAGCATTATTTACACTGTTTCTTGGGCATTCCTTCCATTTCTATGCCAAGGTTTAAGAAATTGACTCTGTTTTCTGGTCCATTATGATCTGCAGGGCATACATGTAGGAAATCTATCTGCTTTCTTGTATATACACAGACTTCAGGTGTATACTGCATTTTTGCATTAATAACAACATACAGTATTTGCTCCACCTGCACATATTTAGTGAAATAATACTGACTTTTCCACTTCCGCACTGTGTCCAGAAAGTCTGCTAATGTATTCAGACACTAAGATATATTATAATTTAAAAAACAAGTTGACATGATATGTTGCAAACCTTATAATCAGATTTGTTGCATGAGAATTCAAAGTTCTATGACAGAATGCGACATCGGCCAGATTTTATGGAAGCATTCTCCAGTCTACTAAGGGGAGTAGCTTTCTTTTCTGACACGATTAAAATGTTTTGTGTCAAGTGAATGCAAGAACTAATTCTACCGAGCCAGGTTTCCATACAATTCCATGGCTCTCCTACAAGTTTCTCTACTTGCAGTGTATAAATAATGAAAACAGTATCCTAGCTTACAGGAAGGTTCTAACAGTAACTGCCAGGATGTGAAAGGCAGAGATAATCACGAACTGAGCATCACTTACGCAGTGAGGTCAATGTTAACAGGCCTGAATCCAACCCATACTCCCCAGCTAGAGCAGATCCCTTAAATCCGTGTATTTTACTCGAGTGCCATTCAGCAATTAATGAAGAGGGTCTACTTTGGCTGGGACTAGCAGCTGGATTTGGGCTAATATGGTCTTTATTAGCAACTGAGCACCTACACACAATTTTTTTCCCCTTTGGATTTTCCCGGATATGCACACACAGTGGTCCAGCCTTTCCTCAGAAACTCATCCCCATTATGTCAGCTGGGAACTCCTGGGCCAGTGAGTAAGTTTAGGCTCTTTATCACGATTTCAATCCTAAAACCTTGGTGCTTTTTTTTTAGTGGTCCAACCCAGGTATTT